CCCACGGTACCCAATGGGTGCTCAGGCCTTAGGCCTTCGTGGTAGTTGGAATATAAAAAAAAATGTCGCGCGACTGTTTCAATACGAATTTTCAACTTTCCCTCCTTATACTTCAAAAACCATCGAGGTGTCGAAATAAGTTAATAGACCTTTTTTGTAGCAAATTTTATTCTCTAAAACAATAGTAGTGTTTAATACTCTTAGGGTAGCGAGCACCAACCGAGAGAGTTCAAAATTAAATTAGTATGTTTTTGAAAATGTAAAATATTAGTAACTTTACGAGTTCTTTATACAAATAATATTATATTTTTTATACTGATCTTACAGTGTTCTAGAACATTGCAATACGGAATTAATTTCACAACGGTTTTCAAATATTTTCAGCAAAAAAACTAGCTTAGTTTTGTAATCCCTTAGATTCGTAGCTTAGAAATTATAAGCAGAACCGTTACCATTTATATTTACCATATGGCAAATTTTTATAGAAACCAAATTTAGAAGAATTTGATTTCCATCAAAAAGATTTGCTGTCTCACAAATAGTAGGATATGCTTATACAAAAATTTCCCTAGGTCTATAGACAAACTTGGCCACTCATCGAAATCAGATCTACGCTAGGGTGCTACTTGCTAGTCAAGGTACAGTGCTGTTTTTTGGAAGCATTATTTTGTCGTCCTCAAACAGTTATAACTTCTAGATCTGGCATCAGCTTTCCAGCTCCAATAACTGTATGTATGACGCAGCAGATGCCTAGATGCCAAAGCACCGCGGCTATGGGGGGCTCAAAGACACTTTTTATTCGATTTTTGAACTGCCCAAGGTTAGAAGAACTGGGAAAAGCATCCTCATGTAGATTATTCCACAATCTCTCTCCCTAGAGACAAAGGAGCGTTTGTATCGGCCAGTTCTGGATCCACGAAGTTCGGCATGGTTAGGATGAGAGGCTGAAGTCAGGGTCCCGAGACTATTCGTTAGATTAGAGTCATCGATCAGTCGGACATCCCTTCTCCAAGCAGCATCGAGCATAGATAATGTAGTTGGGGCAGCAGAACCTCAAACATGTGAGTAGTACTCGAGGCTAGGTCTTATCTGGTCCTTACCTAACCTAACTATTAACGAAATGTGTTCGTATGTTCTGCGCCTTGTACAGAGTGAGGAGGTAATGTAGAAAAAAGCACTTCTCAGCCCAAAGCAAATAGCCTAGCTTTTTCCAAGCAGCTGCCGCTATTGACGAGGTATATTCGCACCAGATAAAGTCTTCGTCGATCCGGACCAGCCGAAATGAATAGCTCTCACGGTACAGTACTGTGTTCTGGAAGCATTAAACTGCACAGTGATAACTTCAAGGTCTCTGATCAGAGAAGTTGCTGCTAGTCTTCTTTTCCCCAGCTTACCAGCAGAGATCGGCTTGTCAATCTGAATTCCTGTATGTTGAGTATTGTCATCAGTAAAGGTGTAGATTGGATTGACCGTACAGAAAAGGACGTCGTTGATATGTAAGAGGAACAAGGTTGCTGTTGTGGGATGAAGAGAACCCCTCAATTATTAGATATACAGGTATAGGTACAATTAGAGAGTTGTTGAGTCAAGGAACAATCTCTGGCGGTAGTAAATATCTAAACTAGCAAGTACTTCAATGTTAAATACTATCAGTGTGACACTTCCGCAAGAGTTCTCGTTTATGTATAAGGCTAATACGATCCATTTGTTGTTCTAATTAGGAGTAGGTAAACTATGTTCATCAGTTAAATGAACACTTCTGAGGCGGTTAAGTTAGATGTCATTCAGAGGGAAATCAATCAATTGTGGCGGTTAGGTTGTTCAAGAGAGAGTATAGGGCAGCACTAATGACGAGATTCCAGTGAACTTGATCCTCGTTGTACGTTAATTGAGTTGGCCAGAAGGGATCGCCCCTTCGCATGCCACAAACAATGTTGCTACCAAATTTCCTAATAATCCCAAAACTCAACCGAAGCAGCCACCATACGAAGTTACGTCGGTATTTTTCTTTCATAGTTTGGCGGGATTTCAGAGCTGTCTTTCACATGCTTTTCTATGCCAGAAACATGTTGTAAATATAGACTGACGGCTTTGTTTTTATTGGACGTTTATACTGGATAGACTGTATATCAGAGTAACAGAGGAAATGAGGAAAATTTGCTCTCAGTTGGAATAGACTCAGTACAGTTGATAGAGGGTTTACCGGGAATTTATGACTGCCCAGCTGATATTTAGAGACGGATTGTTTTTGATAGTTACAATGAAATACCATAAAAATATGCCTCAAAGGCTCCATGAAAATATGGAGTACGCTCAAAATATACCTCGATAGAACCAAGTAGTCAGTCTGTCTGTATGTCTGTCTGGTAATCCTACAACCACCTATAATTTGAAAAGCACCGCTCGGCTTTTGACGAAATATTTACACATTGTTGCTACTATGTCAAGCACGCAAAAGCTTTTTGAAAATCGGTCCAGTGGTGGTGGAGAAAAAGGCCAAAAATGAAAACAGATTGATGTTTTAGACAATCCTGATCATTTTCGGGAAAAAAATTATAGGGCTTAAAATTGGGGGTTGAAGGTTGCAGGGGTTGAGGAGGGTATATATAAATGTTTTGATCATGGTATATTTATACGCCTTCAACCCCAGTAACATATTAGGGATATTTCACTTATCATATATCTTAAATCATTAGATTTAGAAATAACTTTTTAAAAAATTTTATTTGAGGACTGAGGCTTCAGTCCATACAAAATAGAAAGGTTTACAATTGAACTTATCAGTTAGCGTACATTACGGTGTCGCGCCGGGTATTGAACGACAGGATATGGCCGCGAGGCCTATTTATACATTCGGAAAGCTGACTAAGAATTAGCAGAAAACAGCAAAGGCACTATTCTAGCAACGGATTAGCGAGAAGTTGTTATCATATGCTGACACAGCGTCTGGTGCAACATTGTATAATAACTGCGTAGTTACTATGGCCATATAACATATATGTTCCCGTACATTAAAGCTTAAAGCAGAGATATCTCCAACACTCGTATGTCGATACGTGGTCCTCCGATGGACATGCGTCGTCTTTGGTGGTCATTCACCACAGTCGCCAATCGCCTCCGCACTGCTGTCTGAGTGCTTTGTGCTCTGTGCATGGTGAATCAACTTACTTGACGCCATTTGTTCTGAAAGTAGTGCAATATTTCATCGCTACCATCTCCTTAAGCTCCGAGTTCAGTCGAATTTACTGCCTGTCAAAAATCTCCCACTTCTTTAATAATAATCATTCAATTTAAAACTAACGCTAATACACTTTCATTTTTTATTCCATACGCAGCGGTTGCACAGACTCCTATGACTGTCTCTGTTGAAGGGTTGTGATGGGCCTAATGGGTCCCAATGGCCACAGTGATCAGTTTAGCTTTGACCAATCTCAACAAGGATGGGCAATCGAAATAAACCTATTTTTCAAAAGGCATACAGCGCACTAGATGATGTCTCAATACCACTCCCCGCTTAGGCTATTTTGGCAGTTGTACAACTGCAGTACTATTTTTGATATGATGCTTCTGTCACTACAGAGAAAAATATCTTTCAGGCCTTAAACATTGAGGAGATCATCCAGCAAAAGCTGAAATACTATTTTTCACTTAGGCATTCATGAATGTTGTCCTCAAAATCTGTAATTGTTAAGAAAACCCAATATTGCACCACCTTCAGGAAAAAAATAGTCACATTGCATTTGCAACTCAATAGTACAAAATCAGCGTATTTCTAAAATTCCACAAATAAGGAAATACATATGTCCCGAACTGTTGCGTTGCAGATAACACATATAGGAATTGCTTTGCTAGGTATTGAGGTCCTTTATCATATCTCTTTCGTTGATCCATCCATAAGTTTACACCCTATATCGATTTAATCATTATAAACCTAACATTCTGCATACTTGAATTCAACTATTAGCAGTGACAGTGATTCAATTTTATTTCCAACAAAACCAATCTTCCTCACTTAAACTATGCGGGGTCCTTGGTAGGATATAGGAAACTTCTCTGTAATAACTTAGTGTGTTAATAAAGTCCATTCCCCAAGGAAGGCCAACTGCCGTACATCTTCGGCCTACTGCCATTTACCAAGACCTTCCCGTTCTTTTAATTGAGATCCCTTCCTTTCCATCGCACACAATATCCTTTCTCAACCAAGCACATCCGGTGCGACTTCCATCCGCATTTCGCCTCCTCAGCTCTAATAAAGGATATCCATTGTGGCATATTTTAATAACATTTCCCGAGGTTGCATATGGTTCGCGTTGATAACTCCATTCTTTATTAAGTTCGCTGAGGATATTGCCTCGCCCTCGGTGTCGCTGCAGATTTTTCTAGTCTAGACTATCCTCGTCAAATTTTGCCTAGAGCAGACACTGAATCTCTCGAGAAAAGAAGTCGAAATACCTTGCACCTGATTTTATACAGGATGTCTATTGAATATTCGAACACCGCGAATGCTGGGTGGCCACGCATTTTTTAACATGCTTTTATAAGCTTGGCCTGTATGTATGTATGTATGTATCTAACGGAATCTTTGAGCGTAATATTCACCGATTTCCAGAAGTTTGATTAATGTGAAACTTCGCACACGTATCAAGGACCGATGACAATGCAATAATTTGATAACAGTTTTCCATTGCCGTTATTAGGCACGCCAAGATTGATAAATTCTTTTATAAATCCTCAGTAGGGGAGTAAGACAGATAGAGCTAGCGCGAGATCTGCGCATGCGTGCAGTTTCGGACTTACTCTTTGTTGGTTTGGGCACTCGGCACAGCAAAACGGAGGCAGATACTCAAGGTAGTGCATTCTCACCTTGTGCATTTCTTATACATGCGTAGGTACTAATGAGTCTAATACACGCGAATTACTGTTTATAATATTCATATAATATTATATAATAACCATGATTCACAAAAGGCTTCTTATTGTCCGTATAGATTTCGGTTCAGATGATTAAAACGATATCGATACAGTTCCCAGCGAAATACAGCTATGCAACTGCTGAGAGACGAATGTTGCCATTAGTCCTGAGTTGGCTTCGACCGTCTACAAGATGCAAGGTTGTACAGTCGATCAGTCACTTACCTAGGCTCGCGACTGCTGCTGATCAAGCCTATGTAGCACTTAGTCGTGTAAGATCTTTAGACGGTATTCGGATTGAAGAACTTGATTGCACTAAGTTAACAGGAAAAACCGATGCAACAGTGAAGCTTTAAATGAAATGGTTAGATCACGAAATGACTTGTAAGATATTTCAATACCAAATGTCCACAAAAGACTAAATCGATAAATTGAACTAACAAATGAAAAATAAATACTAGCTTGAAAACTAGAAAAAACACGCTTTTATAGCTAACCGAACTAAAACGTAGAAGATATTTTTTAATTACAAAGAGTTTATATTACAGTAATAGAAACTATAATAAAATTGAAGTTATTAACAAGTTATCAAGCACCCCACGCTTTTTATAATAACTCAAATTTTATTATAATTTTATTTTGAGATCATCAATTAGGATTGACTGTTCGACCATATACTACTGTAATATACACTCTTTGTGATTAAAAATTATTTTATACCTTTTAGTTCGGTTAGCTATAAAAGCGTTTTTTAGTTCTTAGGGTGGATTTCACCAAGGTTATCAAATTAACAGTCCGTTATTCTCCACCTTTAGGGTAACAGTCCGTCAAATACAACGAATGAGCTTCAATATCCAATCAACACATTTCAGCAACCAATACCTATGAAATGTTGAAAACAAAATATTGTCAAAGTATGAGATGACAGCTTGTCCTTAAAACATCACCAGCATATTGAATAATAAGAAATTACATATAATTCAGTCAAAATTTAAAGAAATGTTTGATTTTTGATTCATGTTTTTATTTAATATTGTCGATAGTTTATTCAAGTTTATATTATAATCTTCAATTGATATGCGATTTTACTGATTTAACATCACCTCCCGTGTTTTTTTTTTCCTATAAACCTCTTGCAGATAGCCATTAAACACCTACTTGATGACAGACTCTACCAAAAATTTCATAGATATTGCTCGTTTCCAAACATTCATTCATTTACTTGCCGTTCATCAGAACCATTGTGGCACCTTAGACTGCTATTGCCACAAAACCATTCAGATTTTTTGATATCCATACATCCATAAAGTTGAATATTTTTCGTTGTTCAGGAACTGAACAAATATCCACACTATATTTACAGCGATTAAGAAATACCCAAACATATGTCTTAAAGCTACCAGCAAACCTAAAACCTGCAAAAAAACTAGAGATTTCCCATATTTTTCTTCTTCATGAGTACACATTCTAGGTTATATAATTAGACATTATTTGAATAACAGCTGATTGTTGCATTTCAAAACACCCCGAGTGACACATGTGTGGGATCCGTCAACCCTTGGTCCCAGTCACAAAACATATACACTGAAGAAGACTTAATTTCATGCTATTCAATGACAACACGGTGACTTGTGTGGTTGTCAGTGGCCATTTTTTGAGGGTGCGACATGGTTGCCAGATTCTGCATTAATATCCCGTTTCACCCCCCTGGTCTCAGTGGAGTACGCTCCGCCAACTGTTGAAATATACTCTACTATGCTTTATAAGACTATTCGTGGAATTTTTCCCAAAATCGTTGTACAACACTTGAAAAAATGCAAATGAAAATTTTAAATTATTTCCATGACCCCCAAAATAGCTCCGTCTGTACCTCGGGTGATACATCTTGACAGTAGGGATGTTCGATACGATCCTATATTTAGAAGTATCGATACTTTTGCTTCCCATACCCGATATTTTGTGTCAGAAAGAGTAACTAACTTCAGATTACTTTTCTTCTTTGTTTCCTTCCGCTGGATATCGATAATTTTATTCCAATATTTTAGAGTATCCTTACTTCCTAAAACGTTAAGAATCGATACATAACGATACTTTTCGTGTATCTAAACATCCCTAATCTTGATAGCTTGTCGTTCTTGTCAACTGGCCTGCAGGGTGAGGTGTTGCCTTTACTATCTTACATTTTGATGAAATCTTATGATAAATAAAAGCTTCAAATGAAATATTGACGAATATGAACGAATATGCATAGAATTTAGAATATAAATTCATATTGCAAATTTCAGATTGTCTATGCATTGGTTTGAACCGGATTTTTTGGTATTTTTACCGAAAAGAGGATATTTACCGATAACATCATTCTCCACGATTTTTAAAAATCATTTAAATATTTCTATACTTGCCGAAAAAGAGCTGAAACCAAAAATTAGGCTAAAAGTCAATTTTATGGAGTATTCATAGTTTTATGCCCCATATCAGTCATACATATGCATACATACGCAGGCAGTCGGGCACATGAGAGGCGTAGATTTGGGTTGCCTATGATTACGAACGCACATTCTCATTCCTTACTCCGCTTGCCCTGAATTGATTTTTGTGCATACAAAAGGTATAGACTGGTAGATTACCGCCATTACCTCATCAACCTGTATGTTTTATTATTTAATTAAAATGAGTGGTCTGTTCAGAGGTAAAACAGAAAAATATTCAGATAAGCAAGAATCGAAAAAGGAGGTTCCAGAATGGTTTGCGAAGTACTTTGAAAGAGCGGGACCAGTATGCACATTGTAGAAGTTGTAATATAGAACTACGAGCTCAAAAAACATGTTGTGTGCGCGCCTAATACAATAACAGACGTTTTTCATGACTCAAAGGTCCTGGATCTACACTGATCTTACCTTATACCGAACTCGACACTATTTACCGATTCCGCTTTTTCCCGGTTTGGCAATATTGCAGATCTGCAGATCACTTTAAAAGCAATTAATATCTCAGACGTGTTATAATAATAGAAATAAGAAAATACAACAATGTTTGGAGATACATTTTCATAAATAGGTATTTTTGATTCTGACTTATAATATCTAGACGATGAATAATAGGTGGATGCGGATACTTTTACAAATATCGATGTTTTAGGACCCAGAAATGCAGAATGTGCTGTTTGTTTACATTTGGTGTGGATTTCTAGATCATAAATTGGCAAAAATTGTTTTTGAAGTAACAAAAGATGATGAACCAGTTGGAATACGTTTTATATCCTTTTTTTGCAAAATAACAAAAATCGGTAGATTTCTACTGGTACGTATTATGTACAACACCCTGTACGAGATATACAGACAAAATCAGATTGCCATGCATGAACAGTCGTCAAAAACAGTGAAAACATCCTACCAAATATAATAGCTAGAAATTCGACCTATTATTTGCCGCATTCCCATTGGTCCCACTTGAATAACTGATCGTTTTTTCTGAAATGATAAAAATTTGAAATTCTATGAATGTTATCCTAATTCTAAAGCACAAAGACATACTATTACATCTATAATGTATCCTTATTTATATGGCAACCGTTTTTTCACGACTTTATTCAACATTTCAATAGAAATCACTGATATTCAGAGAGCTTTGACAGCTTCTGTCAAATTGCATTTCGATAAGGTCTTTTCCTATTCGTCCAAGGGACCGTCAAATGTTAATGTTGGTGAAATTAGCCCTTAAACTATTATTTATTCTAATAAAAGTTTCAGAATATCAAGGAAGTAATTTGCCGATGACATCAAATATGATCTAGTTACTGACGTTAACTGTTTGGAGGTCAAGTTCGAAAATAAAGTAGCAACCACCAATTTTGATAATGCCTTATAATATCCTAGTAACATAATGAATTTCTAGAAAAATCAAGACCTCTACAAACTTTGCAGAACGTAATGGAAATATCTAGAAATAAACAAACCTGACAGCTATGTTGCAATTGACTGACAACATACCACACCGACTATTTAACAACTCATGACAGAACTTAAACCATGGCCCAGCGTACTATACAGAGTGTTACACTCTGTGATGTGCTTATATATATTCATCTCATCTCGTTTATGTATAATATCAGTTTCTGTCATGCGAACTTTATATTTTGTATATACACGGCGGAATTCCTGTAGGATTCCAATTACCTGCAAGGGCTTTTAATGAAAACGCTGTGAGCTTTTCAGGCGTTATGTAAGTAAAAGCTACGAACACCGTGAATGAGCTTTTATGAGTTTCTGTTTACGTAAGGAAGAATGCGGCTCGCCATTGCGGTAGTTAAAGTGCACACCTCCATAAACTAATTTGGCTTTTTGGTTAATATTCAATTGTGGTTCATAGGTACAGTAGAAAAGAAGTAATGATTATGTACTTTCACCGAAATAATTAAATGTAGTGACGATTTATGGAAATGTTGAATTTGTAGCTGTAGTTATTTATAATATGTATTTGAAATCTTAGGTGGTCTTATTAATTCAGGTTTGGGCTATTTTTATTTTCAGTGACAAGAGAATAAGATTGAATTAGTATGCTTTCGGTTTCATTGTCTTCGCTTTCAAATTCTGATACAGACAAAACATACACACATACACGTTTATATTATGCTGTCCGCGAACAGCACAGCACACAATACAACGACACACACACACGGCCATCCGCCCGCCGTGAACATGAAATGAATAAACCGTATTGTGTTTGTATATTTGTGTGTTCGACGTGCGCGCGTACACGTACGAGTGTGCGTGTGTGTGTGCGCGCGTGTGTTTATATAAATATGTGTATACGTCTAACGTATTAATACCGGTTGTACCAGGGCGCGCGCTTTCGTCTTCGTCGTCGTCGCTAGGAGTACTAAGGCGCGCGCACCGTTACGGTAACCGGTGGAAAACTTCGAACATTCTCTCGACCCTTCGCTAGATTGGAAGCGACACGGTGTAATCGAAAAGATAGTTCTACGTTTCGGTTATAAAGGCTGCTACACACAGTGCCGGCGGCAGGGCCGCCGGGCAAGCCGCCGGCTAAGCCTCCGTACACCCGGCGGCATGCAAAGCCGCCGCGCAAAGGAGCCGCCGGGGTGTGCCGGCGGGTTACGCGGCTTGCCGGCGTCACTTCGTTCCTGGCATTCGAGCGGTAGTGTGGTGCGGTTTGTGTGTTTAAACAAATTAAAATGTCGTTTAATTGGGACGACGAAGCTGTGCTGCTCTTAATTGAAAAATTTCATGAAAATGATATATTATGGAATCCC